AGCCAATATATAATATAGTGTACTTTTTATAAGCACTTTTAGGAAAAATTTGTCTCTGGTCTTGATAACAGGCAAAGCTGACTTCTCTTCAATAATTGTTTTTTTATGTGTGCTATGAATCCTGTAACTACTTTCCTTTTTGATCTGACAGCTGGTGAAGATTAGGACTAAATTTGTGGCTGAAATAATTAATGTATAGAACCAAAGCATGCATAAATCTGAGTGCTAATCTAAGCATTATATTTATTCCCTCCTTATCTTGATCTCCCTTTGTCTCATTCTTTCAACCTTATTTCACCTCTTGTAGTCTATGTATTTTTGTAAATCATCATGAGATCTTTTGTTCTGAAATGGGGTATAAGTAAATAACATAGGCAGGAGATGGGCACAGCAGCTGATTCTGTAAAGCACAGCTTACAGATTATATGGCTTGCTTCTTTCAAGCTAATATTTTGCTGGTTATTTCAGCTTATACTCAAAACAGCCCTAGGAATCCTATATCCAAATTCATTTTGTAGTTATGGAAACTGAACCAGAGAGTTTGGGATGTGACCAGTGTAATATAGGAACAAAGAAATGACTGCAAACAAAATGTATTTGTCAAGCTCCCCCCAGGGACAAGCATTGGGAAATGACTACATAATGACATGTTGGTAGCTTAGGGCCCAAATTATTTCAGCCCTAAGGTCTTTGGATAAATTTGTCTCTCAGTAGAAAGAGCCTGATATAACTTAATAATGCTATTTAGATACTTATTTCAAGCTTATACTTAAATACTTATCAAGCAAGTTATGGGATGCTATCTCAATTTTATATTTTAAATAAGCCTTTAAAGCTTAATTTTAAAAGGTGTGCAGTATAAATGCCTCCCCTCTCAAAGGCATACATTTGTGGCATAAGGAATATACATCCAGAGTTTCCACTTCTCCCCACTTATATGTCCCAGGCGGCTCAGTGGTAAAGAATCTGCCTGCCAATGGAGGGGACACAGGTTAGATTCCTGGGTAGAGAAGATCTCCTGGAGAAGGAAATGGTAACCCACTCCGGTATTCTTGCTTGGAAAATCCCAAGAACAGAGAAGCTTGGCAGACTACAGTCCATGGGGTGGCAAAAAAGTCAGACATAACTTAGTGACCAAACAATAGTCAACCTTACCTCCTCCCTGCCAAAAAAATGTTTTATTTTATGAATATTACCTGTATCTCTGGAAAAAACATTTAATGATTGATACTGATGGCAATTCAGTAATATAAATAAAGTTTTATGACAAACAAAAATCTATAAAAGCAGTATTTTGATATTTTATATGAATTAAATGTCTATGTAACTAAAGTAAAAATTTAAATATGTGACTATTGGTTCATACCAATTGAACCAATAATTGGTACTCAAGCTTGCTAAAATTTCATTTTCTCTCTTCATTGTACAATGATCAATATTTTTGTAGAGTTAGATAATTCAGTATCCTTTGTAGAAAATGGCAAAGTTAAAGAAATCTACTGAGGAATAGATAGTAAAGAGAGTAAGAACACTGAGTCACAGATACTACATTTCCAAACTATCTTTTGTCAGTACTCTCATTTATGTAATCATGCTGTTACGATTAAGAAAAAAGCCTAAATTTCCTAAGCTAACTTAAGGCTAGATTTTGATCATCATCTCTTTCACAAGAAATTCTGAAGCACTGTTGCTAATTTAGTGTTTACCACACATGAAATATATATTTAGGGGAAGTATTTAGAGTAAAACAGGATGTATTTTAGATGAGATGGCTCACTTGCATGCACATTCCTGAAGCCTCTCAACAGTCCTCTTGCAACTTAGGCTTTGCATGCTATTAATTAACAATGTTTATTTATTTATTTATTTATTCATTTTTGTTATTACACAAAAGCCCAAGTCATAGGGAAACATTCTATAGATTTATTTCTTTTTAAAAATACAAATATATTTCAGTACTGCAGAGGAAAGATGTATTTTCTTATAACTTAGAATATCTACTAAGTGTAATAGGTCAACAAAATTTACACTGGTATTTAGCAAGTTAAATATTATAATCTAGACATATTGTGAAGAATTTAAAAAAAAATCTTTCTAATCTACTATTCTCTTTTCCATCTCTGTATTCCATTTTAGAGATAGAAACCTATGTCCAGATCAAATATCTGCTATTATCTCTTAATTGAGGTGGACGTTATTATTGCCAATTCCTAATGGGATAAATTGTCAAATGACATGCACAAGGTCACACAGTGACAGAGGTAGAATTAACTCATTCTATTTAATGTGATATTTTTCTGGTGTGAGCATCAGAAACACAGAGATAAATAAAATTCTGTTCCATGTTAGGAAGAGGAGAAGGGCAAAAGGCCAAGAATTAACTCTATGTTCAAGATAGTTTTTTTTAGAAAACTTATTCTTCCCAATCCTGACTGTTTGAGATAAAAGACAGTTAAAGTTATTATGTCATCAGCTGCATTATAAGTTAAAGTAATTTGCATGTATATGGGGAAATATGAGCATAGCTAGACAGATGGGTGAATAGCTAGCTAGCTAGCTAAATAGAGATAGAAATGTATAAATTATGAAGCTGAAACATCCAACTCAATCTTGTTAAAGAAGCATAATGTAACTTCATGTTGACTATATATTAATAGTCAACTTCATGTTGATTATATATTTATATATTTATAAATATTGATATATTTATACTGTTGTTTAGCAGTTATAAGAACATGTTGACTGATTATATAAAAATATTAAAATCTTAGTGTTTATATAATTATAAAAATTGCTTTAAAAATAAATGGATAGGTAGAATGTTAGGAAATACATTCACTCTTCTTGGAACTTGATAACACATATACATGATTGAAATGCATAAGAAAGGATGATAGTTTTAAAATACACATCATTTCTCTCTACTGTTCAAAGAGTCTGCAGAACAGGACTTTCTTTGTATTATCAAACTGAAATGCTAACCATGTAAACAGGAAAATTGTCACTGATGTTTAGCCCCACCTGACAGAATAATGAGAGGTCATTTTTTTTCAAATGGAAATTTATTTTTGAAACGTTGTGTAGTAGGTAACAATGCATTTTTAAATTAAATTTTCTAATTCATATTCTTCATACAGTAACATAATATTTGTTAAGAAAAAAATAGGTATTTGGATAAAAGAAATTGGGAAAGTATTGAATGTGCTGATAATTTTCCAAACTATAGACAATTTTCAAGTCTTCCAGATATGTGCTTAACTTACCATAAATATAGTCTGCAATGAAAAAATACCAATCTAAAAAGTAAAGATTGTCATTATAAAGATCAAGGTCAATGAATGCAAAAATAAGAGAAAAAATAGAATAAAGGAATCCATGTTATCATCTGAGAAGAGAAAGTAACTATCAATAAAAAATAGAGGTCCTCAGTACTATTTGAACCTATCTCTCAGCCTTATCGCTGTGTTATTTGCAGGCACCAATGGGCATCTGCCCTGAGAATTGATTATTAGAACTTTCTGCCTATTTTCTATTTTAAAGCCCCACTCATGGCAGAAAGTGCAGAAAGTGAAGCAGAGCAAGAGAAAAGGCAAGGCTTATGAAGTAAAAGAAAGTAAATGTCTTCCCTCAAGAACTGATATTCAATTTTTTTCTGGCTCTANCCACCTTGGGATCTTGTGAGAACACGGATTCTTGTTTAGCAGACCTAGGGTTGTGAGCAAGATTCTATATTTTTAACAAACTCTGAGATGATTGTGATATGAGATGTTACTATATTTGATCTCAAAAACTTTTTGAAATTAAACCATACTATTCATGTAAGTTGGTAAGTTTATGCTACATACAGTTTGTTCCCTTTGGAAATAAGGAAATTGTATCATAATAAACAAGTTTTAAAATATGAAACATACAGGAGGGAACTAGAGAGTAATGCATTATTCAATCTTTCAACCATATAATAAGCATGCATGGGAAAACTTTATTGAAACCTGAACTTGGTCAATACTGTATAAAATTTGAAGTGAACTACATCTATAAAACACTAAATCATAGTCAATAAAATTCTGAATTTTCTTATATTGTTTCATCCTTTTTACATCTAGAAAGAAGGCAACACACAAGGCAAGTTTTGGGGCTTTTTCTGAAAGGATATTTTGTTTTCATTTATGTTAATGGTGAAACGCTGTGCTTTGTTCAATGGTGAAAAATCAAGACTGTGTTCTTTGATTAAAAAGAAAGGATCCAGGTGGTCACTTTCTGGTCTGTAATTTATGCACATAAGTATGTGCATTAAAATATTTTAGAAATTAACTGGAGCTGGGAAAAGTGAAATACTATAATACATTTGAAGCTATAGATTTATAGCTTTTATTGATATTTCACATATTATATAAATTCTTGACCCTGCCAAAATCCTTTACACTGAATTAATAAAACATTCATGTTCAGTAACATTAAGGCAAGACTTCTCTGTTCTTACTACATCTTCCATATTGAAATTGTGGTTCTAAGTGTATTATTGCCTGTTTGACCCTTTCTAACCTCAGGGAATTTTGCTCTGATGCTCCAAATAATTATTTAATCTCAAAGGCCTACGTTAACTTGCCTATTGTGTTTGGTATGGCTAGATGGTTTATAGACTGCGTGTATGCTAACCATGGAAAATTATAAATGCTATTTATAAGAAAGATATGAATTCAGGTGTTATTTAAAAGGTCAACATATACATATGTAAAAATATGAAAACCTTTCTATTGGACAATAAGGAAAATAGGTTCATGATTCTATGTAATTTATAGAAGATCCCCATTAAATATCACTTTTTAATTCAATCCTTCATTTAAAAAATCAGGATGATATACACAGCAATTGTATAAACCTGTTACCTCTAAAATCCTCTAATATAAATTTTTCCCATTTTTTTATGAAAAGTAAAATTCCATGTACCAAAACAATTTCCATGAAGCTAGAGATGAAAAGTGATCTATGTTAATCAACAAAATATAAATGATTATTTAGTAAATTATTTATTGTTTATTAAAATGAGAAAAAAAAAGACCCAACCCAACAGCAAAATGCTTAAATGATGTTATACAGTGAATTGAGAGTCTATCCAAAAAGATTTTTCTGGGAAGAACAATTAATTGATACAAATGTGAGTGCAAATCTGTCTCTTTTTAAGCTTTAAAGCCTATTGTTCAAAGTTTTAGCTTGTGTGCATGATATAAACCCCATACGTTGTTTTGTCAGTGACAATAAAAAGTGCAGTTTATTAAAAACTGAAGTAAAAATTAAAATAACTTTTTAAAAAAATCAGTCACAGTTTTGTCATTGGTATATGGAGATTGTTCCAGGGACCCATCCACAGCTCCTCTTCATCTGACTGCGTGTGGTCACTATGGAATTCCAGAGCCTCCTTGACGTTCTTACTCTCAACCATGGATTCCTGTTCAACTGTGCTTTTCGACCTGTTCCCCAAAGACCTCACTGCCATACCGTCAGTCCCCATGTGGCAAGGGGCAAATGTAACCAGAGTTGGTCTTGTGTTCACTTTCTCAGTAGAAAATGGCCCCTTTGATAATGTGTTCAGGGGGACATTCTCCTCGTGTGTCACGGCCAACTTGTCTAGTTTCTTAAAGTGTCTCCCCAGTCGAACAGGGGAAGTAACTTTTAAATTATCAGTGAGGCAGACTCGGCGGGTTCTCACCACAGAACCATTCTGTGCAATGTATATATTGCCATTGACATTACTGTGGATATTAGGATTCTGAGGACGTGTTCTCTGACATTCAGGAGCACTGTCTTCTCCAGTTGAGCTAGTTTCATACTCCCGATCAACAACTAACTTGATCATTCTTTTTCTTGCCCACTGTCAAAAAAAAAAAAAAATGAATCATTATCAAAGGAATTAAAAGGGTAAAGATTACAATGATTGAGAAATTCACAACCTTCGACAGAAAGGTATCAAAGGTAATAATTCAAGAGGTAAAGGGAAGAATCTTATTATCAATTACTTTAACACAAATTCTTCATTGGTTTGAGAGTGTAATAATTTCTGAAGAAGATTGCTAGATTAAAAAGTAGACATTTCAGGAAGTACTTTTATTTTTTTAAGTAAAATTACTGATCTATCATAAAAAAAAGTGTATTGGTTATATTTAAGTATCTGATCCATTGTTTTACAGTTGCTATACTTTTCAGGAATGTTAAGTTGAAAGGAACACCCCTCTTTATTAGTATATTCTGTTCATATTCATACTTCCATTCCTAATATTTGAAACATTTTTAAACTTACAATATTCTAATTCCTAATTAATCCTCCATTATTAGCCAAGCATTTTGTATAATTTAATGCATTTAATCACTTGCATCCTGGTTTTCTGGTTCATCTCATTTAAATATATGTTAAAATATCTTCCCATCCTGTACAATCTATCTTGTAATACACAAAATAGAAAATTAATGATCATAAATTTGCCTTTAGTAAGCAGCTGGAACACAATGGAAGTTTTCACAATTTTTTTTTAACAGTCCACTTTAAGAAATGACAAGGTGCAAAGGTTAAAAAGTGCTTGGTTATTTTTAAAATAGTATTGCACTTTGGGGATATGTGAACTACCAACATGTTGCACTGAGTAAGCCATAATTTTGGATTTTGAGATTTATATTTTAAAATTATTATGTTATCTACCCAGAAAAAAATGTATAACTGTTAAAATTCATTTTTTTCAAAATCCACTTTAGTTCCTATCCACAACAGAAAGGAAATAGTAATAACTTTTAGTTTTAAATTTATTTCACTTAAAATTTAATATTTGAAAATGCGAGCTACAAACCTAATTGAATATGTTTATGATGTTTTTGATAATATGTTTGCCAGTTGAAATGTACATATACACAAAAGTAGACTTGCAGAGATCTCATTTGCTGTAGCTTGTCCTAAGGATTTATGTTACAAAGGTGGTATAAAGACCACTGCATATATTCATAAATTCATTCCAATAGCCAGAGCATCACTGGCAATACATAATTCCACATTGCATTAACAGGAATCACATTACAAAATATTAAATACTGAGTAACTGATTGTATGTCTTTTGAATTATAATATAGGAAAGATAAATCAGATTTACCCTAATATATTCTAATATACAAATCTATTTGGATAGTATATATATCTGCTTCTCTGGCATGCTTCTAATCTTAAGTTAGATAAAAATCATAATGAATTTCCTCCCTTCAAATGTCATCTCAGAGAATGCATAGAAAGCACTGCACACAGAGCACTCATCACTGCAAAGCTTTCACCTGCTGTGACTCGTTCACAGTGCTGTGTTGTAACCTTCTGGGTTTGCTCCTGGAGACTTCTGGCTTGCATGCATGCTTGGGTGGTACTCTGGCACCTGAAAGCCCCAAGGACCTCCAGACTGACTTTCGCTACTGCTGCTGACACTACTTGATTCTGACTCCTCCTCACTTTCAACACCTCCTTCCACTGACGCTGACTCTGCACTGCCCTCCTCAGTGACGTCTGGAGATTCGAGGCCTGTTGGTTCTTCCACAGGGGCCAGCTCGCTCTTCTGCTCTTCTGCTGGGCGTCCCTCCTCTTCTTCCACCTTCAGTTCTTCTGGCTCTTCAGCTGGCTCCCCTTTCCTACCTTTGACTTCCTTGACCTCTTCAACAACGGGCCTTCTTCTTGCAAGAAAAATATTTTTCCTTGCCTTTTCCCCTTCTGACTCAGTGGATTCTGACTCTTCGGATTCAGGGGTAGAACTTTCTTCCTCCTCAGAGGGTGTCTCTGACTCAGACGCCTCTTCCGTAGTCTCAGACTCACTGAACTCGGATTCCTCTTCACTGTATTCAGTATAGTCACTCGAGGATTCCTCCTCTGATTCTACCGTGCTTTCTGTAGCTTCCTCTTGGTCCAGAGTTAGTTTCAGATAATCTTGATCTTCTTCCTCAAGGCGTCGCTGCGTCTCTTCCTCCTCAAGGCCGATGACGCCTCTTCTCTCAGCTAGTCCTCTAACTTTCTTAAAAATCATGGGGAATATCCTGGCTCTTTTCCATGTTGTGTATGTTGGTTCGGCTGGGGGTGGCTTTTCAATAGTGACAACTACTTCTTCCTCCTCACTAGGCTCTCTAATTTCAACCTTTGGTTTGACTTTCTTTGCCTTTTCCTGAAAATCATGAAAATGCAATTGAAGTGTCAGCTGGGGAAAGGTTATGCTGTGACCTTGTCCCATTTAAGTTAAACAGGAGTGAATCTACAGGGTGATAGCTTCATGCAAATCATAAAACTGTTTTTAGAAAACAATCATACCATTCCCTACTGTTTACCCCACTGCATATAGACAGAAGATGGTCAAGGAAATAACTGCTATAGCTTATACCTTATAATACCAAAATTTAAGGTTTTCTCACTTTTTCTTATTCAAAATCTATTTCTCACCTTAGATCAAAAGAGAAAGAAATAAATGAATCATTTCATCTTCTCTCTCCCATCCTTAGACTTTGGTTAAATAGTGTTATGCATTTGCTTTAACAAAATTTTAACCCATCTGGAAATTATGATAGCTTCTCTGAATAGCTAATGAAATATTTGACTATTTTTAAAATGTTGAACAGGGTAAAACTACAGTGAGATTAATTTTTTTGTTGTTTTAAATATCTGAATAAGTATTCCAGGTGAGGGCTTCCACGATGGCAGTAGTGGTAAAGAATCTGCCTGCCAATGCAGGAGACACAAGAGACTATGGTTTCATCCCTGGGTTGGGAAGATGTCTTGGAGTAGGAGATAGTAACCTGCTTCAGTATTCTTGCCTGGAAAATTTCATGGACAGAGGAGCTTAGCAGGCTACAGTTCATGGGACTGCAAAGAGTCAGACATGACTGAGTGATTGAGCACAGAACATTCCCAATGAATATTTCAGGCAAAGTATAAGGATTAGATATAAATGAAATTGTGGTAACTTAGACTTAAATGACATAATTCCATTAAGAATACTGGTGATGTTTTATTTTTCTCATAATTAAAAGATGGAGATTGTACTTTTTAATGATTTTTAGGTTTGCTAGACAAAGTGGGAGCAATTTGTTTAGCAAAATATTTTTTAACCTATTTGATTATAATATTGCCATTACGGAATAACATTTAGAATTTTTTATTTTGGTTTTATTTCAAATTAATATTTTATATAAAGAAATTAAATTTATATATAAATTAATGTCCATCTATAGACAAGACAATGGAATGGCTAGTGTTATTACATTTCTATGGAAAACAGGTACTAAATGAATAGGATGTTTGATTTTTGAAATGTTTTGTAGGCTGCTATTCAAATAGAGCTAAAAATATTCTTCTTGGAATGTTAAAGTAAAGTAACTTATTCATGTCCGACTCTTTGTGACCCCATGGACTGTTGCCTGCCAGGCTCCTCAGTCCATGGGATTGTCCAGGCAAGAATACTGGAATGGGTTGCCATTTCCTTGGAATGTTAACATTACTTAAAATATTATAGTAGTTACCTCTTCCTCCTCATACTCCTCTTCAGCTTCACCAACCACCTCACCGTATTCCTCTTGTCCAGCCGGCGGTAACAAACGACGGCGACTTCCATATTGAGGCATTTCATACCTGTAACAGAAACTTAGAACTTTAAACATGTCTTCATGGGATCTGTATAACCATGACTGATCTCTGTTTTCTTCTTTTTCTTCACCATTCAATCAATAGATATTTATACAGCACCTATTTGGCTTCTGGTACACTAGTTACAAAACCACAGGGAAAGAACTACACCCTGATGACCAATGACTTTTCCATAAGGTACCCTGGAATAACAAGAGAA